CACGTAGAAAGTAGAATAGGTTATGGAACAGCGCAACATAGCAGAGTAGAAAAACGTCATTAACAATTCAATATATACTTCCAAAAAGAAGGAAAGCTAATAGAACTCCTCTCCAATGTGCACAATGTAATGTAATGTTCAGTGTCAAATAAGATGAATATGTCTATATCCTTTATTTGATTATTACATATTGTATAAGTTCTTTAACTCATATTGTGTCCCACAAAGATGTGCAACTATTGTATGTAATCCAGAAATCACAATTTAAAAAATGTAGACATAATTCTCTAGTACTTGTCCAATAGTTTAGTCAAAAATAAAAGCCTATGTTTTGTAATATTTTTAATAGTTGAAGCTAAATTAAACCTTAATTTAGAAGAAAAATAATGCTTTATGTTACTAATTTTCTATAGGCACTGTGTTAAGATTATGGGACCGGCAGGTGCTGTGGTGGTTAGGAGTGTTGTACTCCCACATGACTGACTGTGGTTCAAGTCCTGGACCTCGTGACTTGGTTCCTCACTTTCTTCTCTCTCGCTCTGTCCCTCTCTGGTGAAATTAAATAAATAAATAAAGCTAAATAAAATACTTAAAAAGAGATTTAATTTATGTTACTGTCTTAAAGGAAAAATTAAACCAAAAATAATAAATTTCTTAGGTACTTTTTCCTACAGGGAAGGTTATGATCTTGGTGGTCAAGGAAAATTTTGAGATGTCTCAGAAGCAGGAGTTATAGAACTGCAAGTAATAAAAGGTAGATAAAATGGTGCATAGATCAGTCTCCCTCACATCTTGTAGAGGCAGAGGGTACAGAGGACACCTGGAAGTACTTGTGGTTTAAGTTAAAGTGAAGCGAATAGTCATCCCTTAGAAAGAACCTTTCATCTCTGTGTAAGTCATCTCTCTCAGTGTAAACAAAGGAAAATTACGCTAATTTCTTTAATGTAAATAAAATGAATTACTTGTTCATAGAATTTTTCATCTTAACAAGATAATAGCTGAAAAGACTGAAGTTAAATAGCTTCTGGTAAAAGTAGAGATAAACTAGAATTTGTATTTCCTGATCGGTACACCTGTAGTCTTCCTGTTGCCCTACAAATATACATTTGGCCTTTAAAATACTTGGAGAAATTTTGATTATTTTTGAGCATGTATGTGAAATCAAGTTAAAAAATAAGTAATCCATGTTTATATATAGGTTGAATGCTAAAGATAAGGCCTAAATTGGTTTATTATTTCACCAGTGATGTCCTTGCTAGTTAATAACCATGAAAATATGCATAGGTACTCTTTTAAAGCTTGATTAGCAAATTTTTTAAAAAAGAAAAAGACATCTAGAAAATCCAAAATATAAAAAAGAGCAATTTCTTTAAACTACTCTTTTTTCCCCCCCTTTAATCCAGGATCTAAAAAGAAGCCCCTTCACTTGATTAGCTCCTTTGACAAACCTGGATTAGATCTCTTAAAAGTGGAGTATATTAAGGTGAGACCATAGAACGATTATATATGTATTATATACTTAACATAACATGCCTGGAGGAGAAGGGTGAGAGTATATTACCAAAGGCTTTGAACGTGTGTCACAGTTTTCAGTTTTTAATGATAGAGGTATCTACTGGTTTTTTTTTTTTTTCTTTTTTTTTCCCTGTCTATGCAGCTTTTTTCCCTTTCACTTAAGTACAGGACTATTGCAAAACTGCTTAGTTTCTTGTCCTCAGAGTTGGAAACCATGGATGAGGCATAGTCATATGGCCACACTCACTGTACTTGTATGTCTGACATTTGGCTGAGTATCCTACATCAAAAAGGTTGAAGCCAAATTGATTGTGTTGAGAAGAGAACTGCCAGTATTGGGCAGTGTTCTGGTCTGCTGTATTGCTAACAACTAGAAATACCTGAAGCAAAGTGATTTATAAAAGTAGAGGCTTATTCAGCTTCTAGTTTGGAGGGCCAAAGTCCAAGACTCTCTGGAGGGGGGGTTCTCTTGGAGGCATTAGAACATAGCAGTGTGCAGGAGGGAATGTCTGTGCTCCACAAGTCTCTCACTTCCCCTCCTTACAACTTGACTGGTTCTTTACTGAGGGAAAACACAAAGCTTTTTGGGAACAGAGGCAGGGACATTTACCAGGCCAGAAAGCTTCTCACAGGAGGTAAGTTTTTGAGTTTGAATTTACCATGTTTGTTCCCAAGAGACAGAACTAGGACCAGTGGGTAATTGTGATTGGGGGATTTGCTATTTTTTTTAACCTAGCATGAAAGTCTCATTAAATCAATCAAAAGATTTGGATAGGTAAGGAAATGAGGTTTCTCTTCTTGGGTATATAAAAAATTAGACTTGTCAAAGACTTGAAAGAGGGATGTAAGCAGTAAACGATGGTTGGAGACCACTTTTTACTCCTTCAGTGCTTCTCATTCTGACCCTCGCTGCAGTTTCCCAGGAATGAATGTCTCCAATGGTTGTTAGATCTATAGCTAAGCATATATGCAGATTAACCAGAGAACATACAGACAGATTGGACCACAACAGAAATTAATTACATGAGACTGAACTGGCGAAATAGAATTTTATGACTTTTGACTGAAACATTACTGATTTTCTTCTATGCTTTGTTTTCCAGATTTAAGGATTTTTGTCTTCTTTTGAGCTGTTAATAGTTTCATCTACTTACTATTTGAACAGAATCCTAACCTTTTTCCTGGCTTGAAGTCTTTTTTTTTTTGGAGAGGTTTTTGCTATAGGGCACGTGTGCTCGCCAGAAAGACAGAGAGAGACATAGAGACAGAAAGCGAGAAATCACCCCCCAGGGGGGATGGCCGTGCTGCAATCCCTTCTCCTCCATTTTCCTCTCGGTATCTTGGGCATGCACACACATGCGCCCGGCGTGTGTTTAAGCCACCAGGTCTGGGACTCGAACCGCGGTCAATTACATGGGAGTCCAGCGACATAGCCATTACACTAACTGCTGGTCCCCTGGCTTTAAGTCTTAAGCAAATTTCTCTTAACATTTTAAAATTTTGATTTATTAAAGCTAAAAATATTCTTTTTTTTAAAAAAAAAGTGAAGTAGCTATTTATTCAGCTTCTTATCATGCCAAAATGTTCTGTGCATCTACACCTGTAATTAGCACACCCTCTTGTAACAGGCAAAATTGGACATCGTATTATATTTCATGTTATGTGATCATATAAAAATGTAAAATGAAAATTATCAGTTTTTTTTTTTTAACATTCCTAGTAAACAATTCAGCATCTTAGTAAAATATGACACAGGAAAAGCAATAATATAATCCTCAATAAATTTAACTTGCCATAATTTGTTATTAATATAGAAATACAATGAAACTTTTAAAACTTTGTATTTACTAAGATTCTGGTAATAGCTTTCTGTAACAAGACGGTGCACCGGGCCTGTCACTCAGCTTGTTTATTATAAATCTCAGCTTCAATATGAAGCTTTTTTTTTTTTTTAAAAAAAAGAAAATCAAAATCCTGCATTTTACATACTAAATATCTTAGCAAGTATGCCATTAAATACAGTAATGAACTTAGGACAGCAAGCGTAAAACTTAACAAAAGCTAAACGTTGCAGCCTTAACAAAATTTATACAAAAAATAAAGTTAACTATCACTGCTTACATAAAGCTTTCCTGAATGGTTAAAACTTAATAGTAGAAAACTTGCATTTTAGAATCTTTAGCTATCAAGTTCAAAAAGTACCAGTGTGTCTATTTGAAATGATTTCTCTGCAGAGCCAAAGTGTAGTCAAAATTAAATTCAAATAACGTAACACATTTAATGCTAAAAAATATTCATTGTTCTTGAAGTGGAGGTAAAGCTGAAGCTCTTTAGGCCCTCTCAGGCTGCAAAGGGCTGTTTCTCTGGGTCACTCAGAGCAGCATATGACAGGGGAAGGATGTCACTAAGCTCAGGAGAGGGCAGGACTGCTGGCACCCAGCTCCGCCCTCCCAGAAGCATGGCTACTGTGCCAACAAAAGTTGGATGTGTGAAGATCAAAGGCATGCTGTTCTGCTAGCTAAAGAGATAGCACCCCCCCGCCCCCCAGCTCCTTTTCAGGTAAATAAAAGTATACAAGAGAGAAAAAATTAAAATACACTTACCTACAGAGTAAGGATTTTAAAATATCAGTATAATCCCTACTTCAAAAATTGTAACTAGAGCCATCAGGTCATAACCCATCACATCTCAGAGAGGCATTCAGAGTCAGTTTCTGGTGACTTTTCATTAGATATTTCTAGTCCAAAATATTGAATTTCTCCCCAGATATCTTAACCTCTAGTAGGACTGCAGTGTATTATCTCCCTGTTATCAAGCACTGGAAGAAGAAAGAGAAAAAAACAACCAGATGTTCAAGCAGCAGGCAACTGTCGTGGCCCTTTCACACAGCAGCATCTGGGGGCTACTGGAAAGTCCAGGAACAATTCTGAATACCGGAAAATTCATGCGTTTTACTCAATATGTCATGGTTTCCACAGCTGAAATTTCCTTAGACACCGCACTTTCTTTACAAGGGCATCCTGAGTTTTCTTCATGTCATTGTGAATCAAGACTTGGACTGGCAGTCTTCTTTTTCTTCTTCTTACTATGGTTCTTACGCTTCTTTTTCCTCTTCTTTTTTTCTGTTGCCTTTTCTCATTCTTCACTGCTTTTCTTCTGTTTTGCTCCTATCTCTTCAGTGTAATCCGATTCTGACAAAGACTCAGGACAAAGGTTTATCTTCAGGATACAGCTTCTTTTTTGCTCAGTCCCTTAATGTCCTTACCTTCTTCAGTTGCATCCTTTGATTTCTTTTCTCTTTTTTAAACTATCTTTACTGTCTGATTCAGTTTCTGATATGGAGCTTTCAGGTTTATGTGAATGGTTCTTTTTCTTTCTCTGTTTTTCTTGTTTCTTGTCCTCATCTTTAGAATCTGAAGAGCTGCTGGAAGAATCAGAGCTCCATGAAGAAGAGGTTGAATACTAACCTAATTTCCTCCTTTGTTTTTCCTTTTTCTGTCTTCTTATGGATGAGCTCTCACTTCCATGTAACAGTTTCTCTCTGTGTTTTTCTAGTTCTCATTCATTTTTTCACTTCCGTATAACAATTTCTCTCTGTGTTTTTCTAGTTCCCATTCATTTTTTTCTTCAAATTCAGCCAAAGCCTTGGAGCCTTTCTTTTTTTTTCTAGTTGCTTTTTCACTTCAAGTAGGCTTTGGTTGATTCACATAATTCTGGATCATTGGCCCTGAAGACTGGATCCGGCCTCTTGATCTGCCTGTTGCTATTGGGTTCATATGGGCCACTCAGTTGTCCCGCTTCCCCAGTGCGAGACCAAATGCCCAGTACAATGCTCAGGGAAACCAGGCCAGAGAAGTGGCCAAAGCGGGCCTGTCTCACTCCCCTCCCGCCTAAACTATTTTTTCTAAAATTAAAAAATATGTTAAAAAAATACCTATCTAATGACCACGGTAAGCTAGATAGCCCCTGCTAGGTGCTACTTTATAGTATGTTCATTTTACTCGCTGAGTTTTATGCCTAAAATCAGACATGTGTTCACAGATATGTATATATCAGTTGAACTTGTTATTGAAAGTATTTAGATTAATTAAGATATTTTGTGAATCAATAAAATGCAAAAAAAAGAAGCATGGAAAGCAACTGTAGATAACAGAGAAGGTGTGGGAGGAGGGTAGAAAATGGCAGAGGAGAATTAGGGAATCAAGGGGAAAAGAAAAAATTTGTATAAGAAACAAAGAATAGAAAATTATTTATTGACAATAACATGTATGGTAAGATCTTTGATTAAGCCAATATGCAGTATATTATGGATGGGAAATTGCATTTTGTATGCTGTGATAATGTACAGTGAATGAATGTGAAATAAATAAATTAAAAAATAAAAACAAACCCAGAGAACATAAGTAATTTATTTACTTTGGTCATAATTTCTTCTTTAGAAATCTTATTCCTTTTTCCATTTTTTTTTTTTTTTAGGCTGATAAGAATGGCCCTAGCTTTCAAACTACTTTTGAAAAAACAGAACAAACATTTAAGGTAAGAACTCCCATTAAAGGAATGTATCTGCTTGAAAATCATGTGTTCTGGAAGTCCTAGTGTTGTTTGAAGAATGTTGCCTGGGTACTTTGATGATATAATCACAAACCAGTAAAGCTAGATACTTACCATGCTGTGTGTCTGTTTGGTTCAGTGTACCATAACCTAGTGTCAGTTTTCTTTTTCTTTTTTTTTTTCTGGAGAGGTTTTTGATATAGGGTGCGTGTGCTTACCAGAAAGACAGAGAGACAGAAAGTGAGAAATCACCCCCTAGGAGGCATGGCCACGCCACAGTCCGTTCTTCTCCATTCTCCTCTCAGGATCTTGGGCATGCACGCACACATGACCGGCGTGAGTTTCAGCCACCGAGTCCCGGACTCAAAACTGTGGTTGACTGCGTGGGAGTCCAGCGACATAGCCATTATGCCATCTGCTGGTCCTGTTTCTAAAGAAGAAAATGCTATTATCATAAGAACTTTGTTTACAAAGAATTGACAGCGTTCTAAACAAATAAACTTGATACTGTTGTTTAATACAGATGGGGGTTTCTTTCTCACCTTCCTTCTCTCTCTGGCAAGTATATGTGCCTTCTAGCATGCATGCATGCATAAATAAATTAATAAATAAATAAATTTTAGAAAATGAAAAGGATAAGGCTTAGATCATACTTTTTTGGGGGGGAGAGGTACTTGCTATAGGGTGCGTGCACTCACCAGAAAGACAGAGACAGAGAGGCAGAAAGTGAGCAGGCAGCCCGCTGGGGGATGGCCATGCCACAGTCCCTTCTCCTTCATTCTCCTCTCGGCATTTTGGGTACGCATGCACATGTGCCTGGCATGAGTTTAAGCCAATGGGTCTGGGACTCGAACCACAGTTGTCTACATGGGAGTCCAACGACATAGTAATTATGCCAACTGCTGGTCCCGTATTACTCTCCCATGTTTTCCTTCCAAGTGGTGGAAAACAGTGGTGCAAGCCCAACTCAGAGTGTTTCGGGTCCATCCTGGATACTCCAGGTTACAACTGGCTAAGGAAAACTAATTTTCTTTTTAAAACATTTCTAGGTGGCCTTTTCATCTTTAAACCTGTTGCTACAAACACAGGCTCTTCTCTCTTCCATTAATTACCTGACAAGCATTATTCCTTCAGAAGATCAAAACACGGGTGTTGCCAAAGAGGTACAAATTACAGCTGAAAAACAGCAAAAAAATTCAACTCTTCAAAAAGGTATGTAAAACACTTTCTTTTGGTTTCTTGTTAGCGAGAGTTAGAATTCTAGAGTTAAATGAGGATGCTTAGAGATCATCTAATTTAGTCATTTCAATGTCATTTTTATCCTATGTGTACTTCCCTTCAAATTAAATCGTGAGTGGCTGATATGTAAGGAAATGTACATATTGTTGTCTTAAAAAAAAGTTTATTTTTGTTATTATTTTAGTAGTGGTGGGGAGTTGCCTTTAGGTAAGGAAGAGAGACCTGTATTTTACTTATTCCAAACTTTCTCTCTTCTCAGTGGCTCCTGGGTGAGGTCCTAGAGCGCTAGTAGCCTTCCTTTCCATTTTACACGTAAGGAAATCAAGATCTGGAGCCTGAAGGGGTATAGGAAAAGCATCTGTTAGGTTGTCGGAAAAGTCATGACGCATTTTTGCATAGAAAAAAATATGTCATGACTTTTCCTACAGACAACCTAATAGTTGGCCAAGAGCCCAGATTCTGAGGCAGAAAGAACTTAACTCAAATTCTGACATTGCCATTTCGACTGCGTGACCTTAGGCACAGTCTTCAACTTCCAAGTTCCAGTGTCTTTACTTATTTACTTTAGCTTTATTTTTTATCTTTACATTATGAAAGTGATTTTTCTCACTACTCAGAATGTAAACACTATAGGATTTTTTTTTTTTTGAAATCTTTGAGTTTGAAATGTTATAATTTTTAGGAGGCCTGTGGTTCACTTCATATGGAGAAGAAACCTTAATAGAATTTAGAGTGCTAGAATCCCACTGTGACAGAATGCTTTGTTTTATTTTCAGTGATTGTATCTTCTAAAGATAGCGACATTATTGGCTTCAGGCTGTTTGCCAAGTTGAGTGCCTTCTGTGTCATTGTTTGTGATGAGAAGAACATTATTGCTGAAATCAAGATTCAAGGTAAAAGTGCTCACAGTGTTAAAAATTGGCCTTTCTGAGAGTTGAATAAAAGGTGGAAAAGGGATGCTAATACCAATGCAAGGATGGTAACAGTGGGTAGGAATAAGCGTCAGTCCGGAATTTAGGGTAGTGTTCATGAGTTCGCTTCCTCGCTACTGTACTTTACTTGTCTTATGTGCATTTTTTACCTTCGTTTTATGTTTATATGTAATATATATTTATATATATGGTTATATGGTATTTTATGTATCAATATATATGCTATGTATGTGATATATATTATATATACATTTTATAATTTATGCTTTATCTTTATGCAAAGCAAACTTACAGTGAAAAACAAAACCCATGGCCCCATTATGTCTTTTAGGCAAAGGCTGCTAAAATCATCTTGCTTTTTTCTCTGTTCTTATCTTTACCAGCTTGTTGTTATATGTTAAAACTAAAAAATATGTTTATTATTTTTAATTAAATTCCTAGAAAACTTAAAAGCCAAAAAGCTAGGGATTTTCCTCAGTTGTTGTCTTTCTGAACTAGTAATGTATCTACTCGTTTGAATTTGATTTGCTCTGGCTTGTGAGCCTCATAGCTTCCACGTAAATGATGGATGTAAGGTATAAAGGGTTTACTAAAATCCTGAGGCATGTGTTTATACTAGACGTACTTTTTTCCCCAGAAGATTTAAAATTCAGGTACATATTTTTTAATGAATTTGAAGGTTTCCGTGTTGGTAAAACCAAAAATATCTAATGTTGTAACTTATTTGTCAATTGAGAGCTCAAGCATTGCTGAATTATATCACCCAAAATAAAGCATTACAGTGAAAAGAAAGATCTTATATATAGTGTATCTATAGAAATTATAATAATGCAATTTTTTTTTTTTTTAAGGTCTTGATTCTTCCCTTTCTCTTCAGTCAAGGAAACAGTCACTTTTTGCCAGACTGGAAAATATTATTGTCACAGATGTTGATCCTAAAACAATTCATAAGAAAGTAAGTGATATCAAATATATCCTTAATATTTTTTGCTGAATATGAGACTTATTTAAAAATGTACCTTAAAAACATCGATGAAATATATTTCTATAGCAAGTGTTTGTTTCTGTAAAGATTATAATTATTAACTCTGTTCTCAATGAGATTTTTGTTATTATTGTCCTGCATTCGGATCTCTGTTTTTCAGGCTGTGTCAATAATGGGGAATGAAGTTTTCCGATTTAACTTGGATTTGTATCCAGATGCTACTGAAGGGGATTCGTATACCGACATGGCCAAGGTGGATGGTGTGGTGTCCCTGAATGTTGGCTGTATTCAGATTGTCTATCTTCAGAAATTCCTTATGTCACTTATGGTAAAATCAATATTTATATACTGATTTTTCAATTTAGAAATACTTAACTGTGATTATTATGGTTGCACATGTTTTAAACTTTGGACTTTAGTCATTGTTTTGATTATAGATGGAATTTACGTATGTATGCAGAGGTCAAAACAGTTGGAATCTGAATTACCTAATGATTTTTGTCTAAAATTAAGAGCTTATTTGCTACAACATATTGAAGCCACATTTTTGGGTATAAAACTTTTTTTATTAATACTTTTAGTATTGTTATTTTTTATTGCTGGAGAGTGCATGTGCTTACCAGAGAGAGAGAAAAAGAACACTCTTCAGTGGAGCATGGTCATGCCATCGTTCCTTTTTCTCTTATTTCTTCATCCCATCAGGATTTTGGGCATGAACACACACTTGCCTGATACATTTTCTAAACTGTCAGGACTGGGATTCAAACAGTGATCAGCCATGTGAGATCTGGCTTGCCATGTTTTAATCACAGTGTTACATGGCCAGCCCAACTATAAAAACTATTGAAAGCATTTTTGTTTTTTGCTTTTTCTCTGTTTCTTAGCCATAATAACATTATCCCTGATCAGCCAGCACGTTAACTATGAATGGATGATCACTTACTTCCTAACAGTAGAAAAGTAGGGCTCAATTGAAGTTTTCCTACTGGACAAGAAGTAGCACATGTATAAAGAGAAGATGGTGATATTATTGACGTGCCTACCTTCTGCCTGAATTTCTCCCTTTATACGTTGTGTCCTCAGAACTTCATGAACAATTTCCAGACAGCCAAAGAGGCTCTGAGTGCAGCAACTGCCCAGGCTGCAGAAAAGGCTGCCACAAGTGTCAAAGACCTTGCCCGGCGGAGTTTTCGTGTTTCTGTCAATGTCGACTTGAAAGCCCCAGTCATCGTCGTCCCGCAGTCTTCCATTTCCACCAACGCAGTAGTGGTGGATCTCGGCTTAATCAGAGTGCAGAATCACTTCCGGCTGGTGTCTGGAGAAGACTACTCACACCCTCCCGTGATCGACAGAATGGATGTGCAGCTAACAGAGCTCAAGCTTTCTAGGTATGTTCTTCCTCTAGTCATGGGTTGAAGTATTCTGTTAATGTTTCCATGAAATCGTATGACCATTGAAGTCCATACTCACCAACCTTTGTAACACAGAGCAGTTTAATTTTTAAATCAACTTTTTATTTTGAAAAATTTTAAACCTACAGAAAAATTGTAAAAGTACTACTATATCTATAACTTTACATCTTTCGGTCTGGATCCACTGATTGTTCACATTTGCTTTACTCAATGTATATGTATATTACTGTTATTTTTTTAATAATTATTTTAACTTTTAAAATTTATTTGTTTTAATTTGACCAAATAGGGACAGAGTAAGAGACAGAGAGGGAAAGTGAGAAAGCAAGCCGCCAGGTTCAGGAATCAAACTGCCATTGACCATGTGGGAGTCCAGTGCCTTAACCACCATGCCATCTGCTCTCTCCACATATTACTGTGATTTAAGATATTTTTTGCTAAACTTTTGAGAATAGACATCTTGACTCTCTGGCCTTAAATACTTTATTAGCATGTGTCTCCTAAAAATAAGGACATTTGTTCTCTTACGCTAGCCATAATGTAACGGTCAAATTCTGTAAATCGAATATTAATATAGTACTTTTATCTAAGATGCAGTCAATACACAGATTTCCCCAGCTGTCTCACTAATTTCCAAAATAGTAATTTTCCTGCTACAGGATCTCACCTGGCATTTAATTACATCCTGTGCCACTGACGAGGATTTCTGTACCATTAAATATTTATTGGAGCAGTTCTTCAACTTCATTTGTCTTTTTTGATGATGACAGTTGGTTTCATAGAACACCTCTCAGTTTGATTTTTGTCTGAGTGATTCCTCATTGTTTGATTAGACTTAACACTTCTTTGGTAGAAATACTGTGTAATTATTAGTTATATCCTTAGTACTCATACCAGGTGACAAGTTTATACATAATTCATTTAAAAATAATTTTCTACTCTATTTTAGGGGATTTAGTTATTGAGAAGAAAGAAGTAATAAATAAAGGGAAGTCTAGAAAGTAACCCTGGAGATCTTTATGGAACACCTTAGAGAATGCTGACTGCTCCCTTTACCATTGCTGTCTTAGTCTCAATACTAGTGTATTTGTTGGTCTTTAAACAACTTTATTTGATGATTTCTTTCGTCTCTTTAGCACCATGAATTTATTTTAAAAATGTATTCAGTTTTCCACCTATCTAGGATTTAGAGAAAAAAGTTTTCTTAGTGGTTTATTGTATGTTGCATGTCAGTTTGTGTCTGCTAGTGGGTGCTCGGTTTGCTGTAGATTGAGTTTTGAAAACACTCAAGCACCACCGTGTCAAATAAAAGCATAGAGCACCAGTAACTTTGACTTTGATTTCTTAAATGCTCTGTCTCACTTCCCTCCTGTATCTGTGTGTGTATCATTTCCCTTGATCTCTAGGACAGTGATCCAGACAGGCAACTCCCATCCTGATATCCAACTGTTGCACCCAATTAACTTGCGTTTTTTTGTAAATCGGAACCTAGCTGCATCTTGGTACCACAAGGTGCCTGTTGTGGAAATTAAAGGTCATCTTGATTCAATGAACGTAAGTGTACGGGTGGGAAAAACCTTTGTTACTAAAATTTTAAACTCTGAAGATTTTCTCAGTATAAATCCAAATGTATTTTTCACTAAATGGTATAAGAAAAATTCCAGTGAAACATCGTCCAACGGGATTACTATTTCAGTAGAATTTAATGTTAAGTATCACTTAACCTTTAAGTTTGAGATATGTGTGTATATATATATGTATATACATATATATATACACACATACACATACACACATACACACACAGTGGGAGAGATCTGTGTACAAATTACTTGTTAGCATATTATATTACATCTCATACTGTATGTTATGTACACATACTTTTAGGGATATCTAAATACCCTTGGTGATAATTATTGCATTGAGATATGTCTGCTTTTTATATTGGAGGCAGAATTTTTATTTCATTAGAATTGTTATTATTTAAAAAGTGCAATTTATGCATTTCTGAATTTGTCATTTTTTATCATAATTAATTTTTAGTAAGCATAAGTTAATGGGGCCATTATTTGTTTTTAAAAATAATTATTTATTTAACTTTACTTATTATTAATATTTTTTTTAATTCACCAGAGAGAGAAAGAGGGAAAGCAAACTACGGGCCTGGGACTCAAACTGTGGTCGGCCATGTGGGAGTCCAGTGCCTTAACCACCACACCACCTGCTGGCCCCAATGGAGCTGTTATTGACTCATAAATTGCATTGTTTTTCTGTAAACTTTTTCATCTTTGAAAATACAAATTCTAGCATTAAATAAGTAGTGAAGGGCCTGCTCCATGTCCTGGAGCTTGAGGCCACCCATTCTACATGGCCAGCTATGCATGCCTCACATCCCCAAAGTAGGGAGAGATGGAGAAGGGATTGTGGTGTGACCCTTCTCCATGAGGGAAGTGCTTTTTCCTCTGTCTCTCTCTGGCAGGTGCATACACCCTCTAGCATTAGATAAATAAAAAAAAAAAAAGTAGTGAAAAATTTGAGTAGTTATTATATAACTTATTAGTCATCAGTAGGTTATTCTGTATTTTCTGTTTTATTACTGGGGATTTATTTTCTGAATTAAAATGGTTTCTTTTAAAATGTAATATACATTGTTCTTTCTTTTAACACAATATTTCACAGGTTAGTCTAAATCAAGAAGACCTTAATCTTTTATTTAGAATACTAGCAGAAAATCTTGGTGAGGCTACTAAAGATTTGGATAAAGGGAAACCAAGAATACAAGAGACAGGTAAGAGGCTGACAGAAGGTGACATAGACATGGGCACTTATTTATAGTTTTGTAGGGGAGACAGATGCTTAAAATGAAATAAACAAATATGTACAGGTTGAGCACCTCTGACTCGAAATTTGAAATTTGAAATGCTCCACAATCTGAAGCTTGTAGACATAAATTCCACACTTTACTAGGTCACAGTCAAAATATAAAAAAGTATAAAAATTTTATACATAAAATTTACCTTCAGTAAGGTACATATGAAACATAAGTTAATTTCATATTTATATTTGGGTCCTGTCTAAGGACGTATATGCATATGTTCCCATATCAAAATAATCCGAAATCTGGAATACTTTTTTTTTTTTTTTGGAGAGGTTTTTTTCACTATAGGGCATGTGCGCTCGCCAGACTGACAGAGAGAGACATAGAGACAGAAAGCAAGAAATCACCCCCAGGGGGGATGGTCACGCGGCAATCCCTTCTTCTCCATTCTCCTCTCGGGATCTTGGGCACGCATGCACACGCGCCCGGCGTGAGTTTTAAGCCACCGGATCCGGGACACGAACCGCGGTCGACTACGTGGGAGTCGAGCGACATAGCCATTACGCTAACTGCTGGTTCCCAAATCTGGAATACTTTTGATCCCAAAGATTTTAGGTAAATCCTCAATCTGTATTTACGAATTGTGACTTGTATTGTCAAGAAAGTAAGATTAGATCGGA